CTGATGATGGAGGCAGTATGACCTCTGAAACGTTGGTTAACATCGACCAGACTACACAGCGCAACAACCCAGAAGACAGAAATCTTCATCGCCCTGATGACGGAGGCAGTATGACCTCTGAAACGTTGGTTAACATCGACCAGACTACACAGCGCAACAACCCAGAAGACAGAAATCTTCATACTCTGATGACGGAAGCAGTATGACCTCAGAAACGTTGGTAAATATCGACCAGACTACACAGCGCAACAACCCAGAAGACAGAAATCTTCATACTCACCGCTGTGTAAACCTCATTTATACATTCTTTTACTCTTGGCTGAAATCAACGTTACCGTATTACATGTGTCTAAACATCATGCACCTACATGATATTTGAGGGTTCTTATTAACTTCTTCACTGTCACTAAGGAAAAATTCGAGCTTTAGCCCCCTCTGTTCTGTTAAAGTTGAGACAGGTCTTCTTGGAAGACCAATTTGTCGCAAATTTATGCTTCGAAGCAGCATTCTAAACCGAATAGTCAGGCGTTCTGGTCGACAGAAAACGCTGGACTATGATACAATTATTAAATTCCCCGGGCTGGGCGTCCAGGATTCAGTCCCCAAAATGGGAAGGTATCTGTTTTTCCACCGAGAACACATCGACTCTGGGGCCAATCCAACCTCCTACTCAGTGGGTACCAGGGGATCTTTCCCTGGGACAAAGTTCCACTCCTATATGGCATATTCATGGTATGTGATTAAAGACGAAGAAGGATATGCCTTTATGGCTTGGTGCTTAATCAAAAGGATATGAAGCAAATTAATAGCCTCGTATCATAATAACCCTATCAAAAGAGCAAACATTATGTGGGGTACTTAATGAAGCTGTATCAGGTGCATAGGTTACGCGGTATCGGATGAACTGAATTGTTTATATGGAACGCGTCTTGAAGGAAGTGTTTCGGGCCTGTTTAAAGGTGGTTCGTATCCATTTTTAGACAGAAGAGACTGAGAAAATCCACGAACATTCATTCAGGATACCAGATGCATTTGATGAGTTTTGTTCTAAAGCGATACCGCTGTGTAAACCCTTCCCGACATGAGCTATGTTAGGAGAACATTTTGACAATACCCTACTTACGGTAAGTAGTTCTGCGTATCAATTTCTGTCTTTTCTAGCCTCTCCAGGAACATGTTGCCAGAATTAGGGCGATATCATGTTTGGTGACCAGAGGAAAATGAAGGTTTTTATTAAATTTATTGTTTTGTTGTTTCTTTCTTTCTTTCTTTCTTAGGCTGTCTGCCATTTATTTGGAACAAAACTATTACGTCATATCTCGGCTGAATGACGTAGTCTATGAGAGTCAAAAGCACACGCGATCACCTTTCAATCTATTTTCAGAAGCTCAAAATCATTGCTACTTCGCGATGCTGTCAAATATAATATTGAAAAAATTATTACAGCTTTTAAAAGCTTAAAACTAGACAAAACTCAGACCCCACGCTGACATTTGCAAACATACACGAAGAAGAATCGAAATGTAGGTCTTCCAGTTTATTTGTCACGTCTATCCTTACGTAATAGTTACTGAACCGATTTATATTAAATTAGGTATTACATGTGAAAATTAAATTTTGTAGAATTTGCTTTCACTTCCTGCGCAGATATATGACATAAAGAAGGAAATGTAAAACTGGGAAATTTCTATCCATTAACTCTGCTTTTTTCCATCGGATTCTGATGTGACAATTATACCTTGATTCCACTGACGGAATAAAAGTGTTTCTATTTAGTATAATTTAGAAACCACTGCTTCAGAAGACAAGGAGACCAAACGGGATTAATTTATTTCTCCGAAAATCTGTATTGCATAAAAACTAGTTTGATATCCACTTTGGTGTATGTTTGCTCTACCAGCGAATTTAGTGTTCTAAAAAATGTCAGTTCAATGCAAATCGTGTACCTTGACATCTTACAGGAATAGGGGATAATACTACTTACTTACAAATCCAACTTATTTCAATACATGGAAAAATATAGTAAGTTGTATACAGAGTATTTATTGTTGTTGTCATTTGTCACTGGTCTCATGTAACGTACTACGTAGCAAGGCCAAATATGAGACAAGAATTTGTGTGGGTTTAGAGGCGTGTCAGTTTCTGTGGCAATATGTCGCTATATTCACTTCGATGCAGATATGCATCGATGACGTCATAGAAACGTGCGTGGTTGACTTGCTTGCGCATGCGCACGAAGTAGGACACCGAATTACGATTAAAGGCAACTAACCACCGGGAAATGATAGCAAAAATAAGTTTGTGTAGAGACCTTGAAAGTGGGCTTCAAAATAAAACGACCTTGGTATCTGTAGAAGTGCCTGGCAGAAAACTTAAGAACAAGTGACAAGGATGACCTTGGAGTTAGGATTCAAAGAGCAATGTTGTATGCTTCGTATAAAGTTGCGTCACGTGACACGAAAATAGCTCAGATCTCGTACCATAGCAAAAGCTAGTAACGCCATATTGTTGACCAAGAACCACGTGAAGGAAGGGGAGGTTAATGTAATTCCATGACCTTGTAGCTTGCAGTTTGACATAGTTGCTATAGTTTGCTAGTTTGTATGATATTTAACGACGTTGTATCATATCCAGGTGCACATTGTGTCAAATGACAAGTTGGCAATTCGCTGTGTAATGGCTCACATGGGCTAGACGTAGGCTATCCAGAGAGTTTGAGCATTATATTTGTATGTGTGAATGTGGATAATTATTAACATTCGACATGACTCATCCTCGAAAACGAAGTCATTTATTCCCAGCTATAATTTTCTAGAACAGCATTAACAAGTTGTAATAGTGAGGAGTGCCACGGTGGTCTAGCGGTTAGAACGCTGGCCTTGTAATCCTGGGGTCTCGGGTTCGATTCCTGGCGGTGCCCGAATTTATAACTTGTGTTGGGCAAGGCCGTGGTCTAGGTAACACGGAGTGTTCCTCCCGGGGCTTCCCCGGTTTCTCCGTGGCATCCCAACAATTACTCCATTCACACACAGAAGAAGGCAATGGCAAACCACTTCTGGATCATCTGCCAAGAACGTATATGAACAGATCCCAGTCCTTTTTAGTTATTTTGCCCGAATTTATAACTTGTGTTGGGCAAGGCCGTGGTTTAGGCAACACGGAGTTTTCCTCCGTTGCATCCCAACAATTACTCCATTCACACGCAGAAGAAGGCAATGGCAAACCACTTTTGGATCATCTGCCAAGAACGTATATGAACAGGTCCCAGTCCGAGAAAAGGATGGAAGGATCCTGTTCATATGGACCTGTCGTCAGACAGAACACTAAATAAATAAAATAAATAATGGTGAGGGGTTGTGTTTTATATGCGGTACGGCCTGAATTATTCTTCAGTAGGTGTGTGGTTTTGTAAAATTTATTCTGAATATTCCCAATGTATTAAAATAATTTACTCTTGATATTAACGCGTCGAAACTATGACAACTTACCCGAATTGAGTATAAAATTTTAATATTACTTTATGGAAATGTTAAAGTTTTTGACTTTAGGCCCAAGTTCTTCAGATCAGTTAACCTCCAATACAAGAGCTGTAAGGACACTGATAATGATAACTACAATAATTACGTTTTGATAAGAATAGACCGAAACGAATTAAGATCTGAGATTAGTGACTAAGTACAGGCTGGATGGTCTGAGTTTGATTACCGTTAAGGTATAAATGTTTTTCTTTTCTCTTGGTTCCAGCGCTACAACCGCATAGTACGACACTAATTTCGTACAACTGGACTGAAATATTTTAATTAGATTTGCCTCGAGAGAAGAAACCAACGGAGTGTAATTCAAGGATGACAGCTGTCGTCAAGACGCCGGGGGTAATTCGTCCGTTGGATCCACTTTTATACAGTCAGGTAAAAAAAATTGACTATCCTACATTTTCGTGGAGATTTCAATGTTTAACGATTCACTCTCCGTAACGTTAGTGCTGAAAAGATTTCAAGACGTTTCAAATTTTCTTTTCGCCTCACGGTTTTGTTTTGTTTTGTTATCAGTGGAAATTTGAATTGTTATTTATATGAGACTGTGTCGTGTAGAGACCACCGTTCCATATTTGTCATTAAGGACGTAACAAAGATTATTAGAACTATCATAAATAAGCTGTACGACACTGAGTATTGCAGACGGGGGTAATATTGCTGATTATGATCAGGTTTGTGACGTCACGCCAGCTTGAAGTTGTTTGCCGACGTCCGGGAGGAGCGTAACGCCTAATCACCAAACTAACTAAAGGAGATAGAGCCCTTGAGAAGCTGATAGTAGTAAATGGTTTGGTCTCAACACCTTTTGTCCATATCAGGCAATTTGACAGTACTTACGGCCATAAAATAGTCACAGGTTTGTCCGGGTTGCGGGTTAACCGGGGTTTATCTGGTTTAAAAGATATTAAAAATTAATTTAGTTAAACTGTTGTAAACGTTAGAACGTTTAAAACCAAAGGGATACATACAAGAATGACATATTACTTAACGTATTAGAATTCATCAAATTCTGCTGATTCTAAAGTCTATAACAATAGAACATATCAGTTGGAACTATTTTTTTAATAGTTTATATGTACTGTATTAAATTTTATATAAAATCCTTTCTGTTATTAGTAAATTTTAAAACTTTAAGTTTTGTATGTATGTATGTAAGTAGACTTATGTATTTGTTATATTTGCTTGTTTATTTTATTTTTGCTGATTTTCCGCGATTTCGATACTATAAAATATATTTCTCAAGAAATTCGTATAAACCTAAATTTACTGCATACCGATATCTGCAGCTGATTAACCATTTGAAGCAAAATGTTCAATTGAATATCTTATTTAAATATTCGGTCCCTGGTTCAAAGAAATTATTAATACATAGCATCTCTGTTAAAATTCAATAACATTGCTCCTTCTGAGAATCGTAGACAACCAATGAATACACTTTATGGATAGAACTCACAGTTATTCAGTGTTAAGGTACTTCATCTTTTACGGATTAGGTCTCCTGGTCTGTTATTATTCAGAAATACATTTGAAACATTGAATCGGTTTACACGTTTGGACATGTCAGCCAGAAGTAGGGCCTACTTAAACCAGATTAATAATTTCGTATCTGAAAACAGAAGTAGTGTCTACCAGTACGAGGTTTAGAATCATATAGACCTAATCGTTTCTAGATCATATATTACAACTGCTGGCAAAACCAATAGAAGGCTGTGGATTACACACTGAGAGCTTCAAATTAACTACAGTGAGGGTACTTCTAAATAAGTTATGATCGGCCACGACGCACCAAAATCCTTTTCTTCAGATGCGACTGCTGGTTCCCTCAGGGTTCTTGAGTGTTTTCTGCCAACCTAACTCGATGGATAAAATATTTTTCTGGGGTTATGTAGCGAGTGAGCCGAAACAAGAAAGAGTCGTAACGCAATAGAGGGCTGAAAAGGGGAGGTCTAGGAGATGGGGAAATGTGAGGTTTTGCAGTTCCGATAAAACGAACGTTCTACACTTGTCGTCATTTTCAAATTCACAGATTTATTGACGATAACTTTGACATATTTCAGAGTAACAAGAAATTATGACTCAGTAATTAACACTAAGTCTGGCAGATGAACCGGCAAGAAGTATTCATACACCCACTAGAAGTATAATTTATGTATGATTTGAGGTTTTTACAGCGGTGAGTTTGAAGATTTCTGTCTTCTGGGTTGTTGCGCTGTGTAGTCTGGTCGAAGTTTACCGACGTTTCAGAGGGCATACTGCCTCCGTCATCAGAGTATGAAGATTTCTGTCTTCTGGGTTGTTGCGCTGTGTAGTCTGGTCGAAGTTTACCGACGTTTCAGAGGGCATACTGCCTCCGTCATCAGAGTATGAAGATTTCTGTCTTCTGGGTTGTTGCGCAGTGTAGTCTGGTCGATGTTTACCAACGTTTCCGATGTCATACTGCCTCCGTCATAGCCCTGATGATAAATTCAGCCAGTACCTCTGAAACGTCGGTAATCGTCTACTTGACTATACAGTACTACAATTCATAATACCAGAATATTTTATAATTCTCATTCAGAAATAATAAATTAACATAGTATGTGCTCAAATATAAATTTTATTAAAAAGTGCGCTTATTACTTTAGAGATGAATGTAGTTACTTATTTGCTTCTGCAACAGCTTTTATCTGACACACATTTTATCTAGGAAATTTGCGTTTTTACAAGTCAGGTTTAATGTCCGTGGGACTCGTGACACTTGTAAGTAAAGCACGATAAGAGATGATAATAGCGGTCTTTGAATCCTTTTTGTTATAAATTAAATGAGCTTGTAGCTAACAGTAACAAATTAACAAATAATTTTGCGGGTATTATTATAAATGTTTTCGGGGATGTGGCTCGCGGGCCGCAGTTGTATCACACTCAATAATATCGTTGTAATTGTATCTGTTTTAAATATGTCTGAGAATTATACTTGACGTGCCAAGAAAGCGAAAAATTACATAATACTGGAAGCCATCGTAATTTCTGCTGTTTTCCTACGCATGTGCTATAATAATTGTCACTTATCAGACATAATAGTAAATGGGAGGATAATATTAAAACTAAACTTAGAGATTGTAACATTTTCGTCTTTATATTTCTCCGTATTTTGTCAGCTCAGTAGAGTTCTTCCATGGTCCTGGACTTATGGGACATACCGTATATTTATTTATTTATTTATGTGTGTGTGTATGCGCGACAGTGTCCGCTCTAACGTGTGCCCACTGCACATAGGCGTAAAACGGAGTGTGATTAATTATGCACGACAGAATTGAGCAGAGCATGTGACACTAACCTTAGTCCCGACTCCACTTCTGTAAGAAGCCAAGACAAATGACACGGACTGTAAGCAGTAAGGAGACATATGAAATTTTAAGGCTTAGACGGGAAGATAATATTAAAGAGGATCATAGAGTATTAATTTTAAAGATAAGAACACTAAACAGGCACAATTTACTGTCGAATAAGTTGACTTTATTGGATCTGTTTTAGGATATGTGTTTATTTTATGGTTTGTTAGCGACGCTAGTAACAGCTAAGGCAAAATTGCGTCAAACGTTAGGATAATTATTGAATAATGCTTTGGAGAAAATGGAAGAAGACGGTTGTTTATTACTTTGAGGTACTATTCAGGAATTTTCTTGTAGAGACTGAGGAAAACAATGAAATACCTTAGATGACCCCAGTGCTGAGGTTTGAGCCCGGGACCTCCCGAGTACGAAGCAGCAATGCTAACTATGCATCTTGGGTGAAAAGTATTTGTCATGAGTTAAAATACTAAAAGCATCAAAGTGAATTATTAATATTGTTACCATCAACATTATAATTTTCATACTTAGTTTATGAGACCCAGAACACAAATTTCGAACCGGTTTGTGATACGTACATGGCATGCCTTAAGCGGCTATGAAGTCACACAAAGTCAAATGATCGAACATTGTGCCCTCAAATATAAATTGCTGAAAAGTAATTTTCAGATACGAAGTAAGTCAGCCTTCCTCTTATTTTGTCAGCATAAACATATTAATTTTTCAACGTTACCTGTTGTGTTTAAATTGTTATTTCACTCTAGTGTAAGATATTAGAACTACACTGCTGTTTTTTTCTTAGTTCATCGTAAAAAAAATTGCTTTTAATTTTAAATAAAATAATATATGTATACTTAGAGATTGTAACATTTTCGTCTTTATATTTCTCCGTATTTTGTCAGCTCAGTAGAGTTCTTCCATGGTCCTGGACTTATGGGACATACCGTATATTTATTTATTTATTTATGTGTGTGTGTATGCGCGACAGTGTCCGCTCTAACGTGTGCCCACTGCACATAGGCGTAAAACGGAGTGTGATTAATTATGCACGACAGAATTGAGCAGAGCATGTGACACTAACCTTAGTCCCGACTCCACTTCTGTAAGAAGCCAAGACAAATGACACGGACTGTAAGCAGTAAGGAGACATATGAAATTTTAAGGCTTAGACGGGAAGATAATATTAAAGAGGATCATAGAGTATTAATTTTAAAGATAAGAACACTAAACAGGCACAATTTACTGTCGAATAAGTTGACTTTATTGGATCTGTTTTAGGATATGTGTTTATTTTATGGTTTGTTAGCGACGCTAGTAACAGCTAAGGCAAAATTGCGTCAAACGTTAGGATAATTATTGAATAATGCTTTGGAGAAAATGGAAGAAGACGGTTGTTTATTACTTTGAGGTACTATTCAGGAATTTTCTTGTAGAGACTGAGGAAAACAATGAAATACCTTAGATGACCCCAGTGCTGAGGTTTGAGCCCGGGACCTCCCGAGTACGAAGCAGCAATGCTAACTATGCATCTTGGGTGAAAAGTATTTGTCATGAGTTAAAATACTAAAAGCATCAAAGTGAATTATTAATATTGTTACCATCAACATTATAATTTTCATACTTAGTTTATGAGACCCAGAACACAAATTTCGAACCGGTTTGTGATACGTACATGGCATGCCTTAAGCGGCTATGAAGTCACACAAAGTCAAATGATCGAACATTGTGCCCTCAAATATAAATTGCTGAAAAGTAATTTTCAGATACGAAGTAAGTCAGCCTTCCTCTTATTTTGTCAGCATAAACATATTAATTTTTCAACGTTACCTGTTGTGTTTAAATTGTTATTTCACTCTAGTGTAAGATATTAGAACTACACTGCTGTTTTTTTCTTAGTTCATCGTAAAAAAAATTGCTTTTAATTTTAAATAAAATAATATATGTATTTTAAATAATTTTGTCAGAAATATAATGGTTTCGTAACTTAGTTTTTTCCCGTAATTTAACCAACTGGCAACCGTTAGGAAGTGATTAAATATTAGC